GAGAAGAACACATGATTTTTCATATGGGGGGAGGGGATAAAAGATTGGGGAAATATTTGGAGGAAGAGTTAAGAGTAGTCAAGGCCCATTCTAATTAAGGCGAATAGGTTTGGAGGATGTTAGGGAAAAAGGCTTTCCAAGGGGGTTAAGAATGGAGAGTGGAGGGAAAACAGTGGATGAAGCCATTTTCGAAGGAGTGGGGAGGGGAAAAAGTAGGAGGGGCGAGCCTCCCGATGGAAGGATGAGGAAAGAACTAAAGTGGGTAGGGTTTGCCAAAAAAAAACCTTAGTAGAGAAAAACCTTCACAAAGGAAAAAAATTCCTCCCACTTCATTCTTCCATAATTCACAATACAGACACACACACTGATGAGCATACTATATTGCTTATGTTAAGAAAATAACAATAGTTGATTGCATGGAGATTTGTAGTCAACAATAATTCCAATAATCATTTTAAAAAATGATTAATAAAATCTCAAATGATCAATAAAATTTATCAATCATTACTATAAAAAGAGGTTGCATATAAATATAATGAGAAAATAATTAAGCTTGTGCAATAACAATTCTCATGTTTGCTTGCAAAAAAAATTATAATTATAATTTACGAGGATGACTTGGAGAACTTGGAAAGTTCTAAAACTAATTGAAAATAGATGATATATATCCTCCTAAAAAAAGAGTTTTATTATATGATCAAAAAATGATATCCCTAGAAATTGATCCATGTGACGCAAGAATGCAACACCATGAATGAATTAGCTCCTCTGAATAGAAGAAACATTTCACTTTAATAGAAAAACTTCATTCTTGAAATCATTCATTGCTTACCTTATGGCCAAGGCAACATCACCATAAGCAATATGAAAAGGACAAGAAAGAACAACAAACTTCTCTATATATCTCATTAAAGGGTCATATTCTATAATATTTCTTTATCATATATCGTACTAACCTGAGGGATAATTGAAATATCTATCCCACATTCATTCATAAGAGAATTCCTAATGGGTTAAATATCATATCAATAGGAGGTGCAGGTATAATTTTCTTCAAGCATTCAATATCCTTCATTGATAAAACAAAAAAAATCCTCATACTTGGCAACATTAAAGTTGATATCTAAGCATGATCCACAAGATTAACTTCCTGCTACTTCCCCTTAAGCTTGTGGTGACATCAATATACTCTTTACCTACCACAGCTAGTTGATTTATGAAATCAACAACTTGCTTAGCCTCAAAATTACAACATCACTAAGATTTTTCTCTTTTGTTTCTGTTAAAGATAAACTTAATAAAGAAGACTTAGGGTAAGAACTTTTCCAAGGGTGAAATTTGAAGAAGATAATTTATAATTGGAAACTCAATAGCGACTTCTTTCTTCTTGATAATGTCAACTCCTTAACCGTTTCCTCTTTGATCTTCTTCAAAGGAGACGAAGAAGAAGATTCATTCAGAGTCTTAAGTCTCTCTCATTCATTTTACTTTATTAATATCATTATAATAACATTCCTTCTAGAGAATTTTACACCTTAATCTATTTATTCATAAGTTGAAATAAGTTCTAACAAAGCCTTCATAATGAAAGGTAAGAAGCATCCATAGGCTTCTCTTGATATTTACATATACAAATAAACTATCAAATAAATATAAATAGTCTCTACGAAGTGTTGGCTAAGCATTAGGAAATATTCTATTCTCTTATTTCTTTGTAATAACTCTAAAGAGACAATAGAATTATGAAACTAAACGTGTACCCAATATCAACTCGATTGGCTTTAATTCAAGTAGACTCCGCTTAGTGATTCATGATCAAGGCTAGTCGGCTCAGATAAAACTATTTTTCATATTAAGTTGCTAGAAATATATTGAACTCTTAATTAAGTTCAAGTCATAAAAAGCTACAAATACATGCATGCTAAGCCTTAATGTTGATCAAGGGAATGTCACCCAAAATTATCAATACTACTCACCTAAGCATCATGTTAACTCACATATAATCAACCTCAGGCCTAACTACATGAAGTTGTCCAAAACATTACGCATAATTACTATCCAAATCTCGGCTAATCCTGGTAAAGTTGGAATCCAATTTTACTTAACTCGCGCGATCCTTATTTTGAAATCACATGTGCATTTATATCATTTTATGAAAAATATTTACTAAGTATTGAATTGTATATTTATTTGTATGGTCCTTTGAGTAGCATTGTGTTGTGACATAAGCCTAAAAATAGGTGAGTAGAACGCAAGCCTATGACACATCAAATAAGTCGCTCAAGTCTTATACACTTAATAATCTAGTGAAATTCTATTAAGTTTTCACCAATAGATTCTCTCTCTCTCTTCTCTTTAGCTATCGGGCTTGATCTATTATTCTTATTATTAAAGCTGTGATGTCATCAAAGAATAATTTTGAATCCAACACTTACATTTAAAATTATTGAAGTAACATTAAATCAAAACTTTTAAAAGATTACAATGGATGTCGTTTAAGTACTTCTTCGCAGCTTCAGACAAAGGAGACTGAAAGGAGTCTAATGTCCCCTTACCAAAACTTTAGTAAAGGAAATCTAAATAGGTTTTATTTTTTTCTTTTTGAGCTTAAAATTGCTTGAACCCGAATCGAATTTTTCTCTAAAAACCTGATAAAAAAAGATGGACTTGATAACCTGGAGCTTTATCTCAAGCACTATACTTGACTCTTGTAGGAGCGTTCAAGTTTTTCATAAGACGTAAGATCTTAATGCATTAGCGTTCGAGTTTAATATCAATTTTCCTTAAATGTGTTCTAAGCTTCTCTATGGCTTAAGTTGAGACATCATGCTTATTACTTTCTAAAGCAGATTTTTAATACATAAATACTAATTGCTCATATCTTTATAAATCGTTATTTTATTTCCACACTTAATTTTTAAAACTGAAGTCACCCAAACGAAGGAACTTTTATTACGTCCTCTGACCAGACGTAGCTCTACGTTCGGTCAGAGGATTGTTACTCGGTTTTCGCTCGGTATTTGGTCGGTATTGCTAGGTATTCTTTGGTAATAACGATGAATACTGCTCTGTGAAGATCAATACCGAATAATACCGAGCAATACCGAGTAATCCCAAAAAATACCGAGTTTTTCTAGAAAAAACTCGGTATCTTTTGGGATTACTCCGTATTGCTTGGTATTACTCGTTATTTTGTCTTCACATAATGGTATTTCTCGTTATTGTTGGTATTGCTCGGTATTTGCTCGGTATTTCTCATTTTGTGCCTTCGATCTTAGTGCCGGCCGAACGTAGCTCTACGTACGTTAACCGGACCAAATAAAAGTTCCAAACGAAGTGCCATGCCTCCTTTCACGTTCAACTAGCATCAGTTGACTTTTTTTTATTTATCTTTTCCGAACTTTATCAAATAAAATGAAAATAGGCAATATTTTATCTTTTGATACCCTCGTCTCTGCTAAGGTTTCATTTGAGATAGTTTCTTATTGCTTTTTTAAATTGTTGTTTAGTACATAAATTTAAATTTTTGTAATAAACAGCTGCTTTAAGAAGACATGAATATAACATTTTGAATTAGCTCAGAAATTTGTTAACCGTTTTGAATTTTTTTTTTAAAGTTATATATTGATATTTATAAAAATTAAAATTTTAAAAGATTTTATTATTTGATTGTAATTAGAAATTAATATTGGTAAGATCATTTTCAAATATTTTCTAAAATAGCTTAAGTTTGATTATTCCAGGTTGAGAAATAATTTTTTTTTTTTAAACATTTCCTCTATCTATCAAAAATAAAACGAGACTTAAAAAAAAGAAAAAAAGAAAAAGAAAAGAATCAGCGGAAATTTATAGAAAGAGTTCTTTTGATAATCCGAATCGTGGTTAGCCTTTACCCAAGTATTTGGAGGTTGGTGTTATCGATATTTTTTTTTTATTCCTTTCAATTAAGAGTTATATAAGTGTTTAATTTGTTAGAGTTAAGTTTTTGTTTGGGAGTAAAAGGGTCAAGACGAAGCCTTCCAATAAAAACTCTTAGCAATTTAGGATTCATACGAAAAACATTTGGAAGTATTCCTTAAGTGACTCTCCTTTATTTTGGAGAATCCCAAAAAGATGAAAAAAGCCCTTAAATATTCTTTGATTAGCAACAAATTGTTCGACTAACAATTTGACCAATTTGACGAACGTGATAATAGTTATGGTTATCGCTTTTCTTTTCGGACAACAACTACAATTTCTATTTGATCACAGTTTCTTTATTGCTTTCAAAAAAAAATTGAACTAGATCGAAGATCTTTCTATAATAGCCTTAAAAAAATATTATCTAAAATATATTTATAAAGCAATAAGAAAATTGTCTCAAATGAAATCTAGTTGTTAAATTTATTATTCTTAAATAATTGTAAACAACTTCTACTAATATTTTGTTTGGTTTACCCATATTCCTTCCGACTCATTTAACACTAGTTTTAAAAACCAAAATAATTCACATATTTTCTATCATTATATTTAAATCGACTATATATTTTCAATCACATTATCATAAATAGTTATCACTTTAATAATTTATCTAATATAATTATTCACATTATCATAAATAGTTCTCAAATATTATTTTTTATATCATATTAAAATAATAGCCTTTTTATAGATATTATTCAAGCTATAAAACCACTGACCAAATTGAGGGTTCATAAAATTTAACTAATGCCTATCGAGAAATTCCCCCATTTTAATCACTCATATTTTATTATGAAAATTATATCATTATTTAAATTTATGTTTTTATGTATAATAGATCTAATATAATTAAACTTATCACACCTAGATATCAACATATCGTCTGATAATAGTAAATTATAATTTATAAATGCATTTCCATTAAAATTTATATTCACGGTCATACAAATTTCAATATATCATTTAAATTATAATTATAGGATAATACATTTTAAATACTAAGAAAATAGGAACGCCCATAAGAAATTTAAAACACCACATTTACTTTTAAAATATCTACAAATAAAATATTTCATACAATGGATCACTCGAGGTCCAGACTTGTGATTCCTAACTAATGGCTGGCAGCAGATTTTAATCTCAGGGAAAGCACTTTTAATCAAAGCTTTTATCTACCTCTCTTGTTGTTTAAGCCAACCACACTGATGGTACAACGAACCACTTTGAACATCCGAGCCTTGGCCAATGCACACATTGGTGGGATGGAGTTGGCAAAGGGCGGTTCAACTCTTGAAGCCTAGGCAGAGACATCTTTAGCTGATTTCAATCAGGTGCAACTTGTGTATTCCACAGCACTGCATATTGCATTTTGCTTCCCTTTAAAAAACAGTACTTTTCTCAAGTTGGTACACAAATTACTCAGTACTTCTCTATGCCTTCAAGAACGAACAATAGCAAAAATATATACAAAGCTTCTAACAATACATTCCTTTCATTTGCTCACCCAAGAATTTTAACACCTTGAACAAACTCTCCCACTCTGGATGATGCGTTCTGTCCTTTGCAACAAAAGAATGTACTCTTTTGTTCACTTCTATCCAGCTAAACCCACTACCTTTCCTCACTCCCTTCTCCTTCATTCTCCTCCTCATCTTCTCGACATCTCCCCACCTCCCAAAATTCGCCAATACATTCGAAAATAGCACATAATATCCAGAATTCGCACTCCCGGATTCAATTATATGCTCCCCGGTATAGACTCCAATCTCGAAATTAGAGTGCACCTTGCAAGCCCCAAGCAAAACTCCCCAGATTTCAACACTGGCTTGTGCCGGCATTATTGTCCTTACTAAGGCGAGAGCTTGTTCTATCCTTCCGGAGCGCGCTAACAAATCAACCATACACGCATAGTGGCTTTCTCTTGGAGTCAATTTGAATTCCTTCATTCTGCTAAAAATTGCAATCCCTTCCTCAACCAGTCCTCCATGGCTACATGCTGAGAGCGCTGCAATGAAGCTTACATCATCTGGTTTTGTGACCATTTCGAAGATTTCAAGAGCACTGTGAGCTAGCCCATGGATTGCATAACCTCCTATCATTGAGTTCCAACTGACTAAGTTCCTGTCATTCATCAAATCAAACACTGTTCTAGAGTTTTTAATTCTCCCACATTTAGCATACATATCAATCAAAGCACTCCCCACAAAAGCTTGACCTTCAAATGAATTCTTAATTGCCCATAAATGAAGCTCCTTTCCTAGCCTCAATCCAGAAGCTCCAGCACAAGCAGACAATGCACTAGTGATTGTAACCGGATTTGGTTCCATTTTAGCTAACATCATCTCCCTAAATGTTTCAAGTGATTCAACAAAATAGAGGTTTTGTGAGTATCCCACAACCATTGAGCTCCATGATATCACATCTCTGTCTTTGATTGCTTCAAATACTTGTTTGGCATATTCAATTGAACCGCACTTGCTGTAGACTGAAACAAGAGCATTCCTAACCCTTCTGTCTGGCTCAAGGCCATGCCTGAATGAGTATCCATGGGTTTGTTTACAGTAATCTAAGCCAGAAATCGAAGGAAGAACACTTGCGATGGCGACAACATCAGGCTTTAATCCAGCATTCAACAACTCATGAAACACCACCATTGCTTCATTGGATAGACTGGTTTGTGTTAAGGAAGAGATTATCCCACTATAAGTAACAACATCCAAATCCAATCTACAGACTTTCATGTGCCTCAGAAGCTGCAAGCTTTCTTCAAACAAGCCATTCTGAGCAAAAGAAGCAATCAATGCATTCCAAGTGACTTTATCCTTCCAAACCAAACCATTGAAAATCCTCTGAGCACCATCAGTCATACCGCACTTTCCATAAGCAGAAATCAGAGCATTCTGAATCATGAGAGCAGCAGTCTCGACTCCATTTCTAAGTACGAAGCCATGAATTTCTCGAACAACTATATCAATAGTAGAACAAAAGGTAAGGATGCTGATAATTGTCACTTGATCTGGCTTCAATCCATTTCCAATCATCTCGCTTAACGTTTCTACAGCATCTAAATCAAAACCATTCAATGCGTAGGCTGAAATGATTGAGTTCCATGAAACAACATCTCTTTGGGGCATTCTGTCGAACACACGCACGGCTTCTTCCAAACTGCTACACTTCGCATACATAAAAATCAAAGAGTTCGAAACAAACGTATCTGCATCATAACCACTTTCAACAGCAAGCTGATGCAGGTGCTCACCTTGGCGAAGGTCCAGCAACAAAGCGCATGCCTTCAAAACGCAAGAAAATGTATAAGAATCAGGCAAGAGACCTTCTATCCGCTTTCTATGAAACAGGCTAATAGCTTCCGGGTATAAGCCATTCGACGAGTAACCCCTGATCATGGAATTAAGTAGAAAAACATTACAGGTTGGGAAGAGTTCAAAGATTGTTAATGCAGTCGAGAGATCACCGCAAAGAGAGTAGAGAGTGATGAGTTTGGTGGAGAGGAACGAATCGTATGCGAATCCGGAGACCATGATCTTGGAGTGGATTTGGGAACCCAAAGGAAGGTTTTTGAAGAGAATGCAATCTTCAAGGATTTGCATGCACGTGGAGGAGGGCATGGTGCGGATAAGAGATTTGGTTGAAAAATAATGAGCTTTTTTTAAAAATTGAAGAGAAGCCAAAGATATCATGATCAAATTATTCCTTTGAATGCATCGAGTCTTCCATTTTAATTACTCATCTGCAGTCTCAACAGTAGAAATAGAGATTAATAACAGAAACAACAACAAGTGCAGCGAACAAGAACGTTCTATACACGTGTACTTATATCATTAGTTAGCTTAGTCTACAAATGCCGGTTCACTGCTGTATGCAAAAGATATGAAATGAAATAAAAATCTTCTGATCATTGCTCTTCTCTGTTTTCCTCTCTCTCTCTCTCTAAACTTCTTCATGGTGTTAGAGCAGGAGATCATCGGAACTCATCTTGATTCTTGATTTTCTCGTAATCTGTTTCTTTAGTTTCCTTTCATGGCGAATTCTTCTTCATCACAGACAGGAAATCAATCTTATGTAGCATTTGACGATCAGTACAACATACCTTCATCTCTCAAGTTCGTCATTTCCAACATCAAGATTTTAGTTCAAGCGCAGCTTGTTCCAGAGAATTATTCCATTGGGAGATCACAGGTGCTTAAGCTGTTTAATGCAAATGGCTTTTCTAATTTTCTTTTTCCCACCACATCTTCTCCATCTAGACTTCGGCAGCGTCAAGATGGTTCTACAGAGATTAATCCTAAATTCAATGAATGGGTTCTAACAGATCAAAATCTGGCAGCTGCTCTCTGTTCGTCTCTGTCTCTGACGATCCTACCATATGTCATAAATCTTGAAACATGTTCGGCTATCTGGACAACGATAGAACGTAGATTGCGATCGTCAAATAGATCACAAGTAATACAGCTTAAAAATGAGCTTCATAATATACAGATGAAGAATCTCACAATGGCGCAATATCTGATAGAGATCAAGAACATAGTTGATAATATTGCAGCGGCAGGATCCAAAGTTGATACAGAAGATATAATACTGTATATCTTAAACGGCCTTCCATCATCGTATCAAGCATTTAAAACATTAATTCGCACTAATCTTCAGCCTATAAGTCTGGATGATTTATATTCACTTCTTATAAGTGAAGAAATAAACATTCAAGCCGATTCGATTAAGCAAGTCACGATCACGGATCAATCTACAGCTCTCTATTCAGCAAGGGGACGCGGACGCAGAGGCCGTGGTCGTTCAGGTCATCAGACTACAAAAGGGAGATCATCAACAACTGTTATCACATGTCAAATTTGTAATAAAAGAGGCCATTCAGCGTATAACTGTTGGCACAGGCTCAATACAGAATACAATCCTCAAGAATCTCATCAGAACAGTCAAGCAAACTCACGGGCAATGGTGGCTGCAAATAAACAACCTAACCCAAACTGTTACCTAGATTCTGGTGCTTTAGTGCATCTAACAAACTTTTTGGACAGTGTCTCTCAAGAAGAAACTTACAATGGCAGTGATACTATCACAATTGGAGACAGTAGATCATTACCTATAGCACACTCTAGCAATGGCATACTTCATACTCCATACCGTAAGCTCCAACTTTCTCCTCTTCTTCATATCCAAAAACTGTCACATAATTAGCTATCCATTTCTAATCTAACCATAGTCAATAATCTCTCTATTTTTTTTATGCTTCGGGTTTTGTCATCAATGATTTGAAGACAAGCAAAACTCTTCTCTTAGGACCAAGCCATAAAGGCTTATATCCGGTTGGCAAGACTTCCAGTTTGATCTCCCAGCATGCTCTCGCTGCTAACAAGCAAGCTTCCTTCCTTTGGCATCAAAGACTAGGCCATCTGCATTTACATACCATTTATATTGTTTCCAAAAATAACAAGCTGCTGCATATACCCACATATTACCCTGTTTGTACTCACTGTAGTGTTTCAAAAAGTCACAAACTGTCATTTCCCTATTTTACACACAGATCATCTCAACCCCTAGAACTCATTCACTCTGATGTTTGGGGTCCATCGCCTGTTACTTGTAATCAAGGTCTCAAGTACTATGTCATATTCATATATGATTTCTCTAGGTTCAATTAGATTTTTCCTATGCAATGCAAATCTGAGGTCTTTTCCATTTTCATTAAATTAAAGAATCTGGTTGAAAAACAAATTAGTCATAGCATAAAATGTTTTAGAACTGATGGGGAAAAGAATATATAAATTCTCAGTTTGCAAGTTTTTTAAGCCAACAGGGTATACAACATCAAGTGCATGTCCCTACACACCAGAACAAAATGATCTAGCCGAAAGAAAGCACAAGCATCTTATAGAAACTACTCGAACACTTATGCATATTGCATGTATTCCCCAAGTGTTTTGGCTAGAGGTATTGCTTGCAGCCTCTTATCTTATCAATAGACTTCATTCAAGAACAATTTCAGCTCAAACTCCTCTTGAGCTATTGTATAACCAGAAACCCGATTACTCGGTTCTAAGAGTTCTTGGCTATTCATGTTTCCCTTGTCTTCCACCAAATCAACGAAATAAACATGAACCAAGATCATTACAATCTGCATTTATTGGATATTCAAGTGTCTCAAAAGGATATAAATGTCTGGACATATTAATCAATAAAATTTATGTATCCAGACATGTAAAATTTGATGAGACCTCATTTCCTTTTCATTCTGTGCCATCCATCACTCCTCAATCCAATACTACTACGTCCAGTTCTCAACTTCTTATTCCACCTTCTACAATACCAGCTCAACCCAATTTATCTACCACTATTTCAAACCATTTATCTGATACAGAAATGAATTCTCAACCTACTGAGGTCTCAGTTTTCCAAAGCTACAATGATAACAGTTCTAACATTGTTCCCTAAGCAAATAATTTGCCACAATAGACTGTGAATCATCATCCCATGACAACTAGATCTCACACAGGATCTCTCAAACCAAGAACTATGCTTAATCTGTTTCAGCAAAAAGAAGAATCACAAAGCCCAGATGAAGCCGAACCAACATCTTATAATCAACCTATCAAAATTTTACACTGGCGCAAGGCTATGGGTGAGGAATTTCTTGCACTTCAAAAACAAGGAACATGGGAATTGGTTCCATCCCCAACATAATGTTCCGGTTCTTGGAAGCAAGTGGACATTTCGTACCAAATATCACTCGAATGGTTCTATCGCCAGATTTAAAGCAAGGCTTATGGCTCAAGGAAATAATCAAGAGTATGGAATCAACTACCTTGAAACGTTCAACCCGGTTGCAAAGTTTCTAACCATCAGAACGATGCTTACAATAGCATTGGTGAACAAGTGGGAAATACATCAATTGGATGTTACAAATGCATTTTACATGGTACACTTGATGAATCAATTTATATGAAGCAACCAAAAGGTTTTGAAGATAACAATCATCCATATTATGTTTGTTTACTCAAGAAAGCAATCTATGGACTTAAGAAAGCACCTAGACAATGGTTTCAAACATTTTCAACATATCTTCGGTCCATTGGATTTAATCATGGCAAAGCTGATTCTTCCTTGTTTATTTTTCATAGAGATTCAATTCAAGTGTACCTAGCTATCTATGTGGATGACATACTGTTGACAGGTAATGATTCCAATGTAATGTCTAGCATAATTCATCAACTCAGCAATCAGTTTGCTATGAAGTATCTGGGAACAACCAGTCACTTCCTCGGCATCAGAATAACTACAGAAAGAGATTCATTTTTCTTATCTCAAACATCCTATGCCAACAGCATTCTAAAGACAGCTGGAATGAGCTCTTGCAAACCATTGGCAAACTCGTGCTGTACCAAAATGCCTGAACAAATTCCTATAGACCATGTGTTATCAGATCCAAAACTATATAGACAGTTAACAGGATCACTACAGTATCTAACTATAACAAGACTAGATATTTCATATGCTGTGAATGTGCTATGTCAAAATATGCATAATCCGAATCACCAACATGCATATCTTCTAAAAAGGTTATTAAGATACATCAAAAGGACTCTACATTTTTGGTCTTCCAATCTCAAAAGGTCCACTCGAACTAAAGTCCTTTTCAGATGCATATTGGGCTGGAGACATGGAAACTAGAAGATCCGCATTGAGATATTGCACCTTCTTAGGTATTACTCTCATATCCTGGAATGTTAAGAAGCAACATACAGTTGCAAGATCATCGACAGAAGCGGAATATCACTCACTATCGACAGCCATTTCAGATATAATTTGGCTAAGAAGGCTATTGCAGGATTTCAATATTCAGTTGAAATCTCCGACTGAGCTCAACTGTGATAATACATCAGCAATAGCCTTGGCATACAATCCTATTTTTCATGCTAGAACAAAACATATAGAGATAGATCACTATTTTATCAGAGATCACATTCAATCCAAAATAGTTATTGTCTCACCGGTTAAATCTCATGATCAAATATCCGATATACTCACAAAAGCTTTGGCTACAAATCATTTTCAGCAGCTGAAGACACAAGCTTACAGATCAAGCAGAACCGTCAATTTGCAGGGGAGTAATAACAGAAACCACAACAAGTGCAGCGAACAAGAACATTCCTGACAACTGTTAGCTAACTGTCACTATACACTTGTACTTATATCATTAGTTAGCTTAGTCTATAAATACCGGTACACTGCTGTATGCAAAAGATATGAAATGAAATCAAGATCTTATGATAATTGCTCTTCCCTATTTTCCTCTATCTCTCTGTAAACTTCTTCAGAGATTAGAAGCTTTTCTTTATAGCAATATTTAGTAAGCACTAAGAGAAAGATTTCTTGTTCATCCTTCTTTCATCTTGTGAAGCACCAATCCGACCTATATGTTTGTTTACTTCCGCTGCTCTAAGGCAGGATCATCCCGGCGCCATTGATCTGCTCTCATGCATCCATAGTTTTAAAAATGGGACAGTATTTGCCGGTTTAACGGGTTGAATTAAATCGTGAACTGATGGGCCGGTCAGCTCGCTTCCTTCTCATAACCGCCTTTGAAGCAAACCAAAAAAAAAAAAAAAAAAAAAAAAAAAAAAAAACCGTCTGCCCTGCCCGTTGGACCGTTAAACCATAAAACTGGCGCCGGTTTTTAAGAACCTCGTGGTTAAAAAAAAAAAACCCAATTTTGTT